GGCTTGTAGTCCCAGCTACTCAGGAGGCTGAGACCTAAAGACTGCAGCTTGAAGCCAGCCTGAGGAAAGGCTGGAAGTGGTGCTGAGGCTCAAGTGGTAGAGCACTAGCCTTGAGTCAAAACAGCTTAGGCACAGCTCCCAGGCCCAGAGTTCAAGCCCCAAGACCAGCACAGGAAAAGAAAATTAAAATGTCTTAGGCTGGGCACCAGTGGTTCACACCTGTAATCCTAGCTATTCAGAAGGCTAAGATCTGAGGATCAAGATTCAAAGCCAGCCTGGGCAGGAAAATCTCTTATCTCCAATTAACCATCAAAATGCCAGATCCGGAGCTGTGACACAAGTGATAGAGTGCCAGATTGGGGCAAAAAAGCTGAACAAAAACTCTAGGCACTAAATTCAAGCCCCAGTCCCAAAACATACATATACAAAATGAAGTGCTTAAACTAGGTGCCAGTGGCTCATGCCTGAAATCCTATCCTATCTCCAATTATCCACCAAAAAGCTGGACATGGCATTGTGGCTCAAGTGGTAGAGCACTAGCCTTGAGCAAAATGAACTCAGGGACAGCACCTAGGAGTTCAAACCCCAGGACCTGCACCCAAAAATGAAAAAGGAAGTGTTTAATGGGGCTGGGATGGAGCTCATGCTTAGCACGCTGGAGGCTCTTGGTTCAGTCCTCAGTACCATCACATTAAAAAAAAAAATCTAGGGCTGGGAATGTGGCTTAGTGATAAAGTGCTTGCGTAGCATTCATGAAGCACTTAGATTCTTCAGTACCACATATGCAGAAAAAGCCAGATGTGGTGCTGTGGCTCAAGTGGTAGAATGCTAGCCTTTAGCACAGAGAAGCTCAGGGACAATGCCCAGGCCCTGAGTTCAAGCCCAGGACTGGCAAAAAAGCAAACAAAATCCAAGGAAAAAGTCCTGCACTCTTGGCTCATGCCTGTAAACCTAGATACTCAGGAAGCTGAGATCTGAGAACTACAGTTTAAGGCCAGTTTAAGGTCAGGCAGACACCAGCCAGGCAGGAAAGTCTGAGACTCCAATTAACCAGCAAAAAGCCAGAAGTGGAAGAACTCAGGTCCTGAGTTTTAAGCTTCAGTACTGGCACAATATGTATGTCTGTGTGTGCACGCATGTGCATAAATGTGTATGTATGAACTCAGGTCCTGGGTTTAAAGCTCCAGTACTGGCATAATATGTGTATGTGTGTGTATATGTATATGTGAATGTATATGTATATATAAATGGAGTATTTACTAATCAGAAGTGTTTAGAATGAAAATCTGTACAACTGCACAACTCATTCAGGATATGCTTCCTAAAGGCTTGGACTGGCAGTAAAAGCTGTTTTAGGGTGCCCCTGACTGGATTTCCTAGATAGGCATTCCTTCTGAGCACCCCTGCACTCACTCACTGGAGTCTGATTTCTTATCAGAAGCAGGTGAAAGGTACTAGGACCCAGTGAAGGGGAACCAGCTGAGAAGAGTTCAGTGTCTTAGCTGAGTCCATGTAGTTCAAATCCTGAGCATGTCAGAGAGAGATAAAATCATTTTGACTCTTATTTTTTATCTTGTGTGTGTGTGTGTGTGTGTACTGGGACGTGTGTGTGTGTGTGTACTGGGACGTGTGTGTGTGTGTGTGTACTGGGACGTGTGTGTGTGTGTGTGTACTGGGACGTGTGTGTGTGTACTGGGACGTGTGTGTGTGTGTACTGGGACGTGTGTGTGTGTGTGTACTGGGACGTGTGTGTGTGTGTGTGTGTACTGGGACTTGAAGTCAGGACCTGAGCACTGTCCCTTAATGTTTTTGCTCAGTGCTGGTGCTCTAACCACTTCAGCACTTCCTGGGCTGGCTTTGAACTGTGATCTTCACAGCTTAGCCTCCTGAGTAGCTAGGATCACAAGTGTGACTCATTGATGTCTGGCTGGATAGAGATGGAATACATTTTCAAGTCTTTTTGCTGGTTAATTGGATATAAGAGTCTCAAACTTTCTTGTCCAGGCTGGCTTTGAATCACAACCCTCAGCTCTCAGCTTCCTGAGTAGCTAGGATTACAGGTGTGAGAGACTGGCTTTTGGCTCACTGTTCTTTAACATATGAAGAGAGGCCCAAGGAGGTAGAACTTCTTTCAATGTCCATGACTTTTTTTTTTTTTTGTGGGTCATGGGGCTTGAACTCTGTGCCTGGGTGCTGTCCCTGTGTTCTTCAGCCCAAGGCAAGCACTACCGCTTGAGCCACAGCGCCACTTCCTCAATGTCACTTAGTATATAAGACAGGACTCAGGTTCAAATTCTGATACGCACAAAGGTCCAAATTAGCCAGGTGCTAATTAGCAGGAGAGAAAGAGACTGAGAGAGGAAATGAGAAGGAGGCAGGTGGCTCACGCCTGTTATCTTAGCTACTCAGGAGGCTGAGATCTGAGGGTTGTGGTACAAATCCAGCACAGGCAGGAAAGTCTGTAGGATTCTTATCTCCAATTAACTACCAGAAAACTGGAAGTGGTGTTGTGACTCCAAGTGGTAGAACAGTGCCCAGGCCCAGAGGTTCAAGCCCCATGACTGACAAAAAAAACACCAAAAATAAAATTCTACTTTTTACATTTCTGGCAAGGGGTGCACAGAGAGGCATAGAGACAATGAGCTGTTCTTGCGCGGGTGGGAGACAGGAGCTGATACTGCCCTCGAGAAGACTGGCCCTTGGAAAAGCCATACAATGAAGGGCCAGGAAGGCAATTACACAGGCAGAGAAGGGTGACCGTTGCAGCCAGGCCAGGGTCATGACCTCTCCAAGAATGAATGTGTGTAATGAGCCAAGTATGCAGCCAGGCATCACAGATTTCCTGGATGCCTTTCAGTTAAGCCTCAGGCTTCCAGGTGCACCAAGACACTGGTCGTGCAACCCAGAGGGCAATGGCAGCCACACCTGGCCTGACTAGAGAGGCTGCCCTTCATTCATGCATATCACTGTTTCTGAACCTATGTGGGAGCACAAAAGGGCCACTGGAATGTACAGTGTTCTTCCTGCCTGGCCCTTGGCTGGCAATCATTGCTCAGGTTTCCCTTTTTCCTTTTTTTGTGCCAGTACTAGGGCTTGAACTCAGGGCTCTGTGATCTCACTAGCTTCACTGCTAAAGGTTGGGACCCTTACCACTTGAGCCATACCTCCACATCCAAATTATTGCTGGTTCATTGGTAATAAGAGTGCCTTAGATATTCTTGCCTGGGCTAGCTTTGAACTGTGATCTTTGGATGTCAGCCTCCTGAGTAGCTAGGATCACAGGTATGGCTCACTGGTGCCTGGCTGGACTGATTGGGACTCCATTTTCACAGCTGTCTCACAGTTTTACAGGGGACCAGTGTTACCTGGAGGGAAAGGTATGCTGGTGGCGCATACTTGTAATCCTATTCAAGAGGCTGAGATCTGAGAATCAAGGTTCAAAGCCAGCCTGAGGGGGAAAGACTGTGAGACTTTTTTTTTTTTCTCTCTTTTTTACCAGTCCTTGGGCTGGGGCTTGAACTCAGGGTCTGGGCACTATCCCTGAGCTGCTTTTGCTCAAGGCTAGCACTCTACCACTTGAGCCACAGTACTACTTCTGACTTTTTCTGTTCATGTGGTACTGAGGAATTGAACCCAGAACTTCATGTGTGCTAGGCAAGCCCTCTACCACTGAGCCATATTCCCAGTCCGACTGTGAGATTCTTACCTCCAACAAACCACCAAATAGCCCAAAGTGTTGGTGTGGCTCAAGTGGTAGAGCACTAGCCTAACTAGCCTTCAGAGAAAAGGCTAAGAAATAGCATCCAGCCTCTGAGTTCAACATCCAGCCTCTGAGTTCAAACCCCAAGAAGCACACACATAAAAACACCCGTCCTGGGCTGGGAAGGTGGCTCAGTGATAGAGCGCTTGCCTTGCATGCATGAGGCCCTAGGTTAGATTCCTCAGCACCACATAAGCAAAAAAAAAAAAAAACAGCTGGAAGTGGCGCTGTGGCTCAAGTGGTAGAGCACTAGCCTTGAGCTGAAGAGCTGAGGGACAGTGCCCAGGCCCAGAGTTCCCCATGACTGGACCCCCAAAAAAAAAACACCCGTCCTGCTGGTGGCTCAAGCCTGTAATCCTAGCTACTCAGGAGGCTGAGATCTGAGGATCGTTATTCAAAGCCAGCCTGGTCAGGAAAGTCCGTGAGATTTTTTTTTTTTTTTTTGGTTGGTTATGGGGCTTGAACTCTGGGCCTGAGCGCTATCCCTCAGCTCTTTGGCTCAAAGCGAGAGCTCTACTACTTGAGCCACAGAACCACTTTGTTTTCTGAGTGGTTTATTGGAGATAAGAGTATCATGGAGTTTCCTGTCCAGGCTGGCTTTGAACTCAGATCCTCAGATACCACAGTAGCTAGATTACAGGCAGGAGCCATCGACTCCTGGCTCCATGAGACTTTTATCTCCAATTAACCACCAGAAAACTGGAAGTGGTGCTGTGGCTCAAGTGGTAGAGCACTCACCTTGAGCTGAAGAGCTGAGGGACAGTGCCCAGGCCCAGAGTTCAAACCCCACAACCAACAACAACAACAACAAATCCCTTCCTGACTCTTCATCCATTCTACTGTTCCCAGAGGACCTGGTACCCCACTGTTGGCACCGGATCCCTAAACACTCACTCCTTACAACATTCCCTGGGACTCACTTTTTTTTTCACATTTAAGCCTGGGACTTGGAACTTAGTACTTGCCACTTTTGCTGCCTAGTGTTCTACCAGCTGAGTCACACCCCCAACACCAATTGCTCTGAAGATCTAGGTGGACTTACAGAAGCCTACCTTCTCCTCCCAGGAGGCCCTGAAGTCTCATCCACAGTTCCCCCACTCAATGTCCCTCTGCCCTGGGCTGGCTCTGCCCTGTGTGGCAGGTGAGCTGTTTCTTTAAGAGCACCTGGGGAAGGGAGGTTTCAAGCAGTTTACTAGGAGCTGACCAGCTCCCTCCAGTCTGCTGCTCTGTTGCCCTGGGCGGGGCTCTGGGTATAAAGAGCCAGAACCCACCTAAAGGTCCCCAGCCCAGCCCGCTCTTCAGACCTGCTGTCCCTTCAGCCTGGCTCAGGTAAGGCCTCAGATGAGCAGGCATTTGCTAGGACTTCAGGATGGCCAGGTAGAAGAGGTGGTCATGGAGATCCCAGAATTCTGAGTAATGAGTTGCTGTTTGAAGGTTTTGAAGAAGTAGCTTTAGCAGCCCCTAGGGCAGTAGGGACTTCATGCCCTTGTGTGGTGGTGAGCTGGGGTTGGAGGAGGCAGGAGTCAATCTTTAGTGGAAGGATCTGTGGGGTAGAGATGACATCTTTATAATCTACCAAATCCAAGTTGGGTGATGTGGCTCATGCCTGTAATCCCAGCTACTCAGGAGGCAGAGATATGAAGATCAGGGTTGGAAACCAGCCTGGGCAGTAAACATCTGTGAGACTCTCATCTCCACTTAACCACCAAAAAGCCAGAAGGGGAGCTGTAGCTCAAGTGGGAGAGTGCCGGCCTTAAGTGAAAAGTTAAAGAAATGTACCAGGGCCAGAGTTCAGCTTCAGTACTGGCACACATACTACAATCAATCAATCGATGGATCTAGGATCCAGGGTAGAGAAGAGGCAGGAGAAGACAGATAAAAGACTAAGAGAAGCCAGTTTGGACACTGGCCTAGTTCACAAATGGCATGTCCCCTCTCATGGCAAAAGTACCCAGGTGTTTATTGTTTATTTAGTGTTGGTCCTGAGGCTTGTATCAGGGCATGGGCACTGTCCCTAAGCTTTTGTACTCAATGCTAGCACTCTACCCCTTGAGCCACAACTCTACCTCCAACTCTTGCTGGTTAGATTGAAGATCAGAGTCTCATAGACTTGCCCAGACTCAACTGCAATTCTCAGATCTCAGTCTCCTGAGTACCAGGCATATATCTTTGGCCTGGCAAATAGTTCATTTAACTCCATCATTATAACTTGCCAAGTTGTTGCTATTTACAGGTAACTGAAGCTCAGAGAGGTTGAGCAACAGCTAAGTCACACATCTGGTGTTGAAGAGGGAAGTGTTGGCCCCCAATCTAGGATTTCATTAAGAGACCAGAGCCAGGCAGGACAGAAATGAACAATGGCAGAGACTTCTCTGAAACCCCCAAGTGTTGGAACTCAGATTCTCTGGGAAGTCAATATAAGAGCTCCAGACTGGAGTTCATGCCTGTAACCCCTAGCCCCTCAGGAGACTGAGATCCTAAGGATCAAGGTTCAAAGCCAGCCTGGGCAGGAAAGTCTGTGAGACTTTTATCTCCCAACTAACCAGCAAAAAAGCTAAAAGTGGAGCTGTAGCTCAACTGGTAGAATGCTATCCTTGAGCAAAAAAAGTTAAAAGGACAGTGTCCAGGTCCTGAGTTCAAATCCTAGTACTGGCACAGAAAACATAACTAGTATTAGGTATATATGAGAGAGCAGAAAGTGGTCTTGTGTGCAAGATTACCTTCTAGGAAAGTGTATACACAGCTACTGTAACCCTGCTCTGCCTCTTGCCTGTTCACCCATACTAAGGGGATGAATGATGACTCCCAGACAGGTAGTTGGATTGCAGACACAGCCCCCTTCTCTTGCCTCTATATCTTGCTTTATAGCAGCCCTGCACTATACACCGACCCAAGATGGAAGGAATGACCTATGCCTTTGTCTTCATGTTGGCAGGTGAGTCCCACAGAGACCCCACCCACCAAGGAAATGGGGAGACACAGCCTGCTCCCCAAGGATGGCTTGTGTCCAATAAATGTATGTTTAAATTGTTAGCCGGATACCAGGGGTTCATGCCTGTAATCCCAGCTACTTAGGAGGCTGAGATCTGGGGGTTGAGGTTCAAAGTCAGCCCATGCAGAAAGTTTGTGAGACTCTTATCTCCAGTTAAGCAGCAAAAAGCCGCAAGCAGAGCTAACCTTGAGTAAAAAAGCTAAGGGACAGCACCCAGGCTGTGAGTTCAAACCTGAGGTATAGCACACGTACACACACAAACACACCACACACCACCACCACCACCACCAGTGGGAAGGTCCCTTCAACTTTGGCCAGTTCACCTCTCCTTAGGCAGCCTGGTGGGCCTCTCCCAATAATGAAGTTGAAGTGTGGACACCCAAAACACAGTCCACTGTAAACCAGAACTCCTGACCACAAGTGATCATCTCATCTCAGCCTCCCAATTAACTGGCATTACAGGCGTACAATACTGTGCCCACCTACCCAAAATATTTGAATACCAGTGCCATGAATGACCACCCACTTCCTTTGCTTTGCCTACCCAGGCCTGCCTGCTTTGGAAGCCAATGACCTATTAGGTGAGTGACCCCTAGTTGCCATGCTTTCTCCTTTTGAGACCCCCACATCCAGTCTCTTAGTTCTGGTCTTTATTCTGTGTTGTTTCTTTCCTGCAGATAGAAGCAGTCCCTTCTACTATGGTAAGTGAGGTTTGCCTCCCTCCACTTTTTTTTTGTTGTTGTTCTGGTCCTGGGGCTTGAACTCTGGGCCTAGGTGTTGACTGAGCTATTTTGCTCAAGGCTAGTGCTCTACCACTTGAGCCACAGCTCCACTTCTGGCTTTTTGCCGGTTAATTGAAGAGTCTCACAAACTTTTGTGCATGTTTTTTTTTTTTGGGGGGGGGTCCGGTCGTGGGGCCTGAACTCTGGGTCTGGGTGCTCTCAGCTCTTCAGCTCAAGGCGAGCGCTCTACCACTTGAGCCATAGCCCCACTTCCGGCTTTTTTTTCTTTTTGTTTATGTGGTGCTGGGGAATCGAACCCAGGGCCTCACGCATGCAAGGCAAGTGCTCTACCACTGAGCCACCTTCCCAGCCCCCTTTTTTTTATTTTTTTGTCGGTCGTGGGGCACTGAGCCTGGGTACTGTCCCTCAGCTCTTCAGCTCAAGGCTAGTGCTCTACCACTTGTGCCACAGTGCCACTTCTGATTTTCTGGTAGTTTATTGTAGATAAAAGTGTCACTAAGTTTCCTGCCCAGGCTGGTTTTGAACCCTGATCCTCAGATCTCAGTCTCCTGATTAGCTCAGTCTCCCGATTAGTCTCCTGATTAGACATGAGCTGCCAGCAACTGGCTGCATGTGTAGATTTTGAACCTCAATCCCCCGATCTCAGCCTCCTCAGTAGCTGGGATTAAAGGTCACAGTACCTGATTTTTGCTGTGGTTCCTCAGAGCCCTTCTTTCTCTAAACTTACCATCTCTTCAGAACACTAGACACTACAAATTGTAAAAGTTGTATCTGTTGACTGACTTGCTTGCTTGCCCTCTCACTACTTGGATGGAAATGTCAAATGAGCAGGAACTTATTTATAAGGCAGACTGCCCAAGCAGGAGCTTGTAAATACTTGCTACAGCGCCTCAGGCTCATAAAATATTTTGAATAAAGCTGGCATTGGTGGCTCATGCCTGTGATCCTAGCTACTCAGGAGGCTGAGATCTGAGGATTGCAGTTCAAAACCAGTCCAAAGTCTGCACAACTCCAATAAACAAATCCAAAAAAAGCAGTAAGTGCAGCTATAAGTAGGTTCAAGTGGTAGTGGACTAGCCTTGAGCAAAAACAGCTCAGGGACAGTGCCAGGCCCTGAGTTCAGGACTATCACCAAAGTAAACACACACACACACCCTTGAGTAAATGGAGGTCACTGGGTGGGGAAGAGCTCACTATGCATGTCCCCTGTTCTGTTTCTAGACTGGGAAAGCCTACAGCTGGGTGGGATGATATTTGGAGGGCTGCTGTGTGCCGCTGGAGTTGCCTTTGTCCTGAGTGAGTGTTGGGAAAAGGGTGGGGAGAGGGAGCACTCACACTTAGCCAGCTCTGACTCTTCTTTTCCTTGCCCAGGTAGCAAATGCAAATGTAAGGGCAGTCAGAAGTCCAGGTAAGGCCAGCCCCCTCTGCACATGCACCTTGGCTGCACACTGATGTGGGCATCAAGTCCCAGGTCTCAGACAGCCAGGATAAGGCTCCTAGCTCTGTTCAATGGGCTTGCAATTGGATTGAGTCAGATATCAACTTTGAGGGACCCTAAATCAAATCTTGTGTACTGGAATTGAACTCAGGGCCTGGGTGCTTCCTCTTAACTTTTTCACTCAAGGCTGGTGCTCTACCACTTCAGCCACAGCTTTACTATTAGCTTTTTGCTGATCAATTGAAAATAAGTCTCAGGCTTTGCCGTCCAGTCTTTGAACCTTCATCTTCAGAGCTTGGGCTCCTGAGTAACTAGAATTTACAAGCACCTGGCAATCTCACCCCTTCCTTATTTCCTCTCACCATGGCCCCCTCCAGGAATGTCTCAACTCCCCTGCACCACCTCAAATGCTGCTTTTCAGGAGAGCTTTCTTTAGGAGTTCCTTTTTTTTTTTTTTTTTGGTCTATTCTGGGACTTGAACTCTGGGTTCTCACGTTCTTGCTTGGCCTTTTTGGTCAAAGTTGGGACTCTACCACTTGAGCCAAGCCTCCATTTCCAAGGACCCCAAGATGGAGGCTAACCCCCTTGGGATTTGTGTGAAGTGGCCATGAAGTGTCACAGAGGAGGCCACCAGGAAGGAGAAAAAAGCCCATCCCCAGTGCTAATTTGACTCCCTCCTTTCTCTAGTCCCTTACCTGAGAAGCCCATGCCACTTCTCACTGCAGGTGAGTGTGAAGCTGGGGGGTGAGGGAGGCCTGGCCTGTGTCACTGAGGACCTGTCTTAATTTTGTAGGCCCTGCCAGTACCTGCTAAGTACCAGACAGCTTAAAGGGACTCCTGGGCCCCACAGCTTTTGCTACCCTCTGCTGCTTTTCCTTCCTGGTTCTTCCTGTATGGCCTCCCTCCAGGACTGGCTGTTCGGTGCCCTGATCAGGGCAATGTCCAAAGCTTATTTTGGTATCCAAATAAACTGGTCTTACCTCTCCCTCTTGTTCTTGTGGACTTCTGTGGAGGGAGGGAAGGGTGTACTATTAGCTGTCACATAATTCTGTGTCCAGAGGCTCATTCCTGGCAATGCCCCACTTGAGAATCTCCCCCGGTTGATTCTGTCACCGGCTTCATGTCCCATCACTCCCAGTCCAGCAAGCCCTAGGTTTTATCAAATGAATTTATAGGCTAGGCACAGGTGGCTGTGATCTCAGCTACTTATGTGGCTTGAGATCTGAGGATTGTGGTGTAAAGTCTGCCTGGGCAGTAAAGTCCATGGGACTCTATCTCCACTTAAGCAGTAAAAACCCTAACTGGGACCTGTGGCTCCTGCCTGCAATCCTACTCAGGAGGCTGAGCTCTGAGGATCGTGGTTCGAAGCCAGCCTGAAGTCCCTGACTCTTATCTCTAATTAATCATAGAAAAAGCTAGAAGTGGCACTCTGGCTCAAGTGGCAGAGTGCTAGCCTTGAACAAAAAGCTCAGGGGGAGGGCTGGGAAGGTGGCTCAGTGGTAGAGTGTTTGCCTTGCATGCCTGAGGCCCTGGGTTCGATTCCCCAGCACCACATAAGCAAAAAGAAAAAAAAGCCGGAAGTGGCGCTGTGGCTCAAGTGGTAGAGCGCTAGCTTTGAGCTGAAGAGCTGAGGGACAGTGCCCAGGCCCAGAGTTCAGGCCCCACGACTGGACTCCCCCTCCCCCCCAAAAAAAACTCAGGGGCAGCAACCAGGTCGAGTTCAAGCCCCAAGACTGGGTGGGTGGGGAGCTAATTGAAAGTAGGTATGTCTCAGGCTCAGAAAACTTGAGGCCCTGAGTGCAAGCCCCACTACCAGTATATAACACCTTTACAATATTCATACCTGATAACTCAGTGGTAGACACCATAGAAGCTAGAATTTGCAATGGGTCATCTTCTCCAATATCAGGGGCACTCAGTGGGTGCTACATGGTATGTGACTCCAGAAACCTAGTTCTTTCACTGTCTCACCTGCCCCAATAAAGTCCTTAGACCAACACAGCGATGATAGCCTCCAGCTTTTTGGGGGATACCAGATAGTGTTTCATGGAGCACTGCCAGGTGCCAGTGGCTCATGCCTGTAGCCCCAGCTATTTAAGAGGCTGAGATGTGAGGATCATGTTCAAAGCCAGCTTGGACTGGAAAGTACATGAGACCCTTATCACTGTCACCAATTAACCAGAAAAAAGGCCAGAAGTGGAGTAGAACACCAGCTTTGAGACCCCCCCCCCAAACATTAAAGGACAGTTCCCAAGCTAGCCTAGTACTGATGGGGGGGAAGGGGGGAGAACAACTATCTACACAAATCTTATGTTCCCATGGGCATGGCAAGATGCAAGCACTGGCAAACAAAAGGTATGCTTGCTCACTGCTCCTCAGGCCAAGGCTGCATGGACGGAATGCAGATGATAAGATCGTAACCTGCAAGTACATGGGGCATGAAGTTGCAGAAAGCAGGCCTGAACAGAACTGTGGAGGTAACTCAGGGCATGCTTAGGTACTAGGCAGTGAGGACAGTACTGCATCATGAGAAGTAAAAACCTGGACCCTGCCTGGCACATATAAACTGTGTGCTGGTCTTGGGACTGAACTCAGGGCCTGTACTGGTACTTGGCCATTTTGCTCAAGGCTTGTGTTGCACTACTTGAACCACAGCTCCACTTTTAACTTTTGCTAAACTGGAGCCAGTTCTGACTTGGGGAAGTCTGCCCAGGCTAGTTCTTAACTGTGATCCTTAGAGAAGTCTCGAGTGGCTGAGATCATACTGTTCAGCCAGTGGCAGTAGGTTCAGCCTTGCTTCTCAACCAGGGTGTCCAGCTCCCCGCTGTTCTTGTGGGTATTTCCTGTTACATCCAGTTCTGCTGTTCTCAGGTGCCAAAGCCACAACCTAATTCCTATTATTCATTCTGACTGATGTGAAGCCAGCTAAGTCCCCAAGCCCGTGTCCCAGTGGCATGGAGCATCAGCTATGTTAAAGACCAGTGTCCCAGCAGGGGCCAGTGCTTAGTGGGCCGGGGAATGGCAGAGTACCAAGAGCTCAATCTAGATGAGCCAAAGGCAGACCTGAAGCAGCTGCTGATCCCCAACTTTGTCTTGTTTCCTTCCTTGGTGCATGGAGTGGGCAGCCATGGGATTAATACTGGGCTCTATACAGGTTTTGCAAAATTCTCTATACCCCAAGTGCTGCCCTCAGCCAGGATTATGTGAAGCGCCACTATGGCAATTTGTTACTTTTTATTGTTAAGTAAATCCAGGAAAATGCTTTTGAAATAAAGGCCTTGTGTAAGAATTAAGAACAAGGAAGTGGAGGTGTGGCAAGTAGTAGTAGGGTGCCAACTTCTAAGTGAAAAAAACTAAGGGACAGAAACTAGGCCTGGAGATGTGGCCCCAAAAAGAAACTACATGCAAACATCCATAGCAGTTGTATAGCCACAAGCTGGTGGCTCACACCTGTAATCCTAACTACACAGTAGGCTGAAATCAGAGAATCACGGTTTGAAACTAGCCTACACAGGAATATCTGAGATTATTTCCAGATAACCACCAATAAGTCAAAAGTATAGGGGGAGGGGTTATTAACCAAGATGCACTACACTTAAATAATACAACTCAGATATTTAGTTGTGAGTCAGAGATTGAGAGGATCATTGTAAACTATGTTGTATGAAGCCTGATCAGGATTCTCATTTCAGACTGGGAATGTGGCTTAGCCGTAGAGTACTTGCCTAGCATGCATAAAGCCCTGGGTTTGCTTCCTCAGTACAACATAAACAGAAAAAGCCTGAAGTGGTGTTGTGGTTCAAGTGGTAGAGCACTAGCCTTGAGCAGAGGCTCAAGGACAGTACTCAGGCTCTTGGTTCAAATTCCAGGACTGGAAGGAAACCAACAAACAAAAAAATTCAATTAGCAAGACCTGGTGACAGGCATCTGTAACACTTCACCTAACAAACTATGCTGGAGGTTATTAGCAATGGAACTAAAGAGCTGACTCAAAAAAAAGAGTGCCAGTGAGCACGGTTCAAGTAAGAAGTGTTTGAAGCACCAAGTTCAAGATCCCAATTAAAATAGGAAATACATGGCAATAGCATCAGGTAAAAAACTTGAGAAGGGCCAGATACCAGTGGCTATCATCTATAATCCTAACGGCTCAGGTTGAGATCTGAGGACCAGTTTGAAGCCAGCTAGGCAGACAAATCCAATTAACAAGACTACAGTTAATCAGAACTGAAGGGACTGATCAAGTGGTAGAGCACCAGATGTGAGAGGGACAGGGTTCTGAGTTTTACCCCATAAGGCCAGTACCAAAACCAAACTTTGAAAGATTGTAGCCTTAAAACTAAAGCTATGGGCTCAACAAACAAAAGAATTTTAAAGTAGAAAAAAGATGTAGCTCAAATGCGAGCGTGATTCAGGGATGGCTAGAAAATGTGGGGCTTCTTTGTACCTGCTTGATGCGTTCTAGTCACCTGCCTTAACCCTTACAAGAAAGCTCAGACTTGATGTGTGACTTGTACTTTAATGTGTAATCTGTACATTAAAATCAATAAATCCTCCCTGAGTACCCAAGTCATTTGCTAGCTATTGCTGAGTAGATAATCTGTGCCAGTCATTGTGGAAAAGTCTTTATTTTAAGAAAAAAATTTAGTTAACAAAAAATTTTCTTTTTAACAAGTTTCACTTAGCAAAATACACCCGAAAGGAAATCACAGTACAAAGCTTAAGTCAAGGCCTCACCAATTCCTACAGTATTAGTATTGTGTCTCAATTCGCAAAACTAACTTTTAAAAAGCTGAAATTCAACCTAAAAGATTTTAAATGAAGGAAATAGAAACTAGAATGAACCAACATGAGAAATGTTTCTCTTTCAATGAGGGACCTAGCACCTTGAGTTCTCCAAAAAAGCAATCGGCCCAATCAATGTGCTCCCTGCAGTTTGGTGTGAAGATCCAACATCTAACAGTCAGAACTACTGGAAGGGAACGTCACTATCAAAATGTGAACTGCGGAAAGTGGAAGCAGATAGTTTGAGTTTACTCCATATCAGATGCTAGAAGAAAGGTCTGCATGAGAACACTGAAGAGGTAATTTCTTTAATCCAGATTTCACAAACTCATGGTGCAATTTGGGTCCCACAGCTTCCTCTAGTTATAGACTGCTCTCTCCCTGCTTCTTGGCTGCCTGGGAATATTTGATTGAAACTCCAATGCTTTTACAAAACTAGTCATAGCCACCCATGCTGTTCTGACTGGTGTAGCCAGTACCGTAACAACCGCTCACAGACTGGCTGTCCAGGCCACTGTAGGTGGCCTGGGCGGCAGACACCCCCATGCCCTGCATCACCTGGCTGCTGTATGCCCCATTGCTGGCCCCTGTGGTAGAATTCAGGAAGAGTTCTATGTATCTGTGCTGCATGTTGGCCCTGTCTTTTGACATTGCTGCCACTGCTTCTTCGTGAGTAGCAAACTCCACATCAGCCTCTCCGGTCACTCTTCCATCAGGCCCGATCTCAATGTGTACTCTCACAGGGTTGAGTGGAGAAAAGAAGTTGTAAATGTCGTTCTCGGTGGCTTTGTAGGGCAGCCCCCTCATGTGGACACAGTGGCCAGTGGTGCTCTGCACGGTGAACTCGCCATCCCCGTATCTATGGTCGTACATGCCCGAGAGACAGTAGCTGAGGTCTCGCCCAAAGAGGTCGGTGGTGAAGCCATAGCCATCGCTGAGCCCGCTGTACTCCTCGTAGCCCCCATAGCCTGCACTGTAGGCGCTGGACCTCATCCGATCCAGGCCTGCCTGCTTCACAATGCCAATGTACCTCCGGGCAGTGCCAGGCCGGTCATAGGGCCCTGGGCGCTGCACAGACATGAACTTCAGAGGTGGGTCTGAGTAGGACCTAACTTCCTCCTGACTGCTCTTAAACACCTCGATATACCTGTGCCCTATTCTCTCCTTGTGCTTCCCCAGGGCCTTCTCAGCTAACTCCTGCGAG